AAAACTGACATGACTGAAACCCGATCAATAATTATTGCCTGCGACTTTTTCTGCTGTTAAAATCTGACATATTTATATTACTTCAATTTTTGGGGCGATGTTACAAACATTGTAGTTACATTATATTCAGTTGCTCGACCTCGACCAAAATTTTCTCATAAAGAGCTCCACATTAGGAGAAGTGATTTTAGTAGCTGGACAGTTTTGTTTCTTCAGAATTGCATTATCCAATGATCCAGTTTTAAACTGACCTGGTTTGTTTTATCTACACGTATCCATTGGATAATGATTTATCAGCCAGATAGCGTTATTCATTCTTTGAAACTCTGGACTCAGTTCTGTATTGGAGTATTCAAAATCGCAAAATTGGGTCCAAAGAGGACGTAGGTTCTGAGAATAAAGATGAGCCTTTCCCTTCAGCTATTTATACTTACGTAACTATTAGTCCACCGCGCTGCCTACGAAAGTTTCAACGGGTTTTTCAGGAAACAGGCAAAAACGTCAGTTTTGTTAATCGAAAGATAGGAGATCTTGAGGAGATCTTGACTGAAATATTTGGACTTTGTTTTAAAGTCAAAAATAACAATTGCTTGAGATGTCGAAATGTTGACGCCACTGGAATAATGAATGAAATGTTATTCTTTTTAATCATACCTCCAGGATGCGTTCAGCGGTTGCCAGATCCTGCCATGCTCACACAAGGTTCACAGGGAGTGCGCCATTGCAATGATACAGAACGGCGTGTAAGTATACTTGAAATGTCCTCATGCTTTACATGGCCTAATGTTTTATTTTTTGCGATCTTTAAAGTGCATCTCTGTCTCTAGCAATTAGGACAAAACGTTTTGAGTCCCGTATGATCTCAGTGTTATGTTAGCAACTTTGGTGAACGAATAACGAGAGGGGCTTAATTGAACTCCCTATGACATGCTCCAGTCCAGATCGTCTTTGAGTTATCGAACATCTACTTAGTTCTAAGCTCGAGTCCAGTGAAGCCTTCCGTACTCCAAGTCAGTTCATGGCTTTGAAGTTAAAAAAAAAATTCTCATTACTTCATAACTTTTGCGATAATCAGTTATTTTAGTTTTGCCATTAGTAATGTTTCCTATCAGCACTATGTTTAGAGGAATATTCTAACAGAAATATTTTCATGAAAGCCATCAAGATAAGCCTGGGTAAACCGAATTTCTTTTGTTTCTTCCACAGTCGCAGTTGCCCAATTTGTCGTCATCCGCTGTACAGTCAGTCAGCAGGCACCGAGTAAAAGGGCTCGAATGGAAAACAGGATCATTTTGTTTTATGATGTTATTACAACTAACAAGATAGCTCCTTAACGGCAAACGATTCTTGTTTGTATTATGCCATTTTTGTAGCTTTTTTGTAGTTTTAATTTTATTCTACTGATGTAAATAGGAAATGTAACCAAAGAAAGGAATATTTTA